ACCCGAAAAGCCCGAAGGCCACTCGTCCTCTGGTAGCCGCATGACGTCGGGGTCGTGAAAGGCGGAACGTACCAGGTCGGACAAGTACGGAGTGGGATCAAACGTAGGCGAGTAATCCCACTTGATACGGGACGCCTGGACCCGAAGGTCGAAAGGCTCAGCCTGGGTGGAGTCCCAGCCTGCCGCGGCCGCCAACGAGCTAGCCAAGGGCGTCGCGCTGACGGGAAGTTGCCGCATGGGGGCGGGCACTTGGGAAGAGGATGTGAAAGAAGCCTCAAGTGCTGCGACATGGGTGGCCAGGCCATGGAGCGAGACTTCGGTAGAGTCGAACTTAGCGAAAGCTCGACCAAGGTCGCTCTTGCCGCCGCGGGCAAGGCGAACTGCGATCCGACACAGACGCTCGAGGCGACTGCGGATACCCTCCTGGCAGGGTGTGACCGTTGCCCGCACTTTGGCTTCGGCAGGAGCGAAGCTCGGATGGCCCAGGGTGAGCCAGTTGAGCGCAACAACAGCATGCTGCGACAACGTGCGGGCGGCGCGCCTCACACGCCAGCGCTCACGCGCGCGACCCGACAGGTGGCCAGGCGGCGGCGGTACAGGCGGCGACGGAGGGCACGGCCATGGATCGCGGGGAACCGACTCCGACAGGTACGAGTCGTCCCAATCCGGCGCGCAGAGGGAAGTGCGGGTAAAAGCGGCAAGGGGGCATCGAGTCCCCATCCCGACCTGGGCAAGAGCAGCGGCCCAGTGGGTGACGTCGATGCTGGCGCCTGGGAACAGGCGCAGCAAGGCGGACAGATCGGCCACGAAGGGCGCAGATCTGCCAATGCCCGTGCTGGCACGGGCTGAAGCCCCAGGAGCGTGGGCCTCAGCACCGCGGTGAAACCGACCAGAATGGCATGGCGTGGTGCTGGCAGGTGCAGACGACCTCGGGTCTAAATCCCCTGCGGGCGAATCAACGCGAGAGGGTTCGGAACTGGCAGCGGCCCCTGAGGACAAGTCAAATCGAGGGGCCTGTGGAGCGGCTGTGACCCCTGAGGACAGGTCACCTCGAAGGGGCTTCCCACTGCCACCAGAACCGATAGAACCGAAGGACGGCGCGTCTGAGTCACCGACGGCATGGACTCCGGCAGCATGGTGTAACTGGCCAAACTGGCCACTCGGCCCTGAGGGGGAGCCGGGGGTAGAGCGAGAGTCGCGACAGCGGCACGAGCTCCTCCCTGCGGGGCCGTAACAGCATCGCTGGAGGAGCGCGTGCCTACTCTCACGGCCTCGCTCAGCCCAGGCACGCTTGGCAGCAGCAGCGTCGTCGCTTTCAGCGACTCGCCGCTGCGTGAGCCCTCGGCCAGGGCACGCAGGGCGCGCGCGTCCACCCCTGTGTCGGGATGCGCCGCCATGGAGGGCGGCATCGCCGGCGGCCTGGGAGCCGGCGGAAGCGGCGCGGCAAGGGCCCGCCGCCACCTGCACCAGCGAACTGCGGTTCCCTGGAGCACGGGCCCCAGAAGCGGCCTCTGAAGCACCGACGAGGGCGTCCGTAGACGAGGCAGTCGCACCAGCATGGGCTGGAGCGTGAGCTGTACATCAGCTACCATCGGCGGCCCCACGACCCCGCCGTCCTCCACGCCGAGTGCGGACCCTACGAACACGTCGGAGCCTGAAGGCGGGGAGTGCGGGGTTGCTGTTGGTGGAGGCCGAGCGGCGACGGGGCCGCGCTATAGTGGCAGTGGCTGCGGCGACGCATTCATCCGAGGAGCCCGCGGCGACAGCGACTCCTCGACCAGAGCGGAGCGCAGGGACCGCATCGCGGGGCGTCGTGTCCGCCGCGGGCGAGCCCGCTCCTGACATTCCACCGGCGGCACGAACCCCTCCCTGCGGGGCCGCAACAGCATCGCTGGAGGGGCGCATGCCTACCAGTGGGGACGGAGAGGGGCTCAGACCACGAGGGCCGGCCAGCAGGCGCTCGCGAGCGCGGGCAGGGATCGACGCGACGGGGCCCTGGATCCGATTGCACGAGAAGCGTCGGGGCCTCGCTGCAATGGCAGCGGCTGCGGCGACGCCTTCACCCGAGGAGCCCGCGGCGGGGCCGATGAGGCCTGGAGGTGATCCCGCTGCTTGAGTGCCCGCTGCGTTCCGAGTGCAAGCGCCCCGAGGCGTGGGGATCGCAGCTTCGGTCGAGGCACTGCGCACGGGCGTTTCTGGCGCGTCCACCACGCTACCGATGGCAGTGGGCGCCCTCGCTGTGGTGGGACTGCTCGCAAGCGAGACTGCGTGCACAGCAGGGGGTCCCCCGAACATCGCTGGGGGCCCGCCAGTGGCGCGTCTGGGAGCAGAATCCGCGTCCGAAGCGCTCGAAGCGACCCCCCGCCCACCGACCCCCATCGTGGCAGCAGGGGGGGCGTCGAGGATGACTCGCGAGCAACCGCTGCGCGGGCCGCCCAGGATGCACCAGCGGTGGCGCCTGGCTCCAGTGCAACCGCCACATCGTGGCGCGGCGGGCCCATCGGGGGCGTGGATGGACCCCCGCTTAGACCGAGCGTCTGCGAAATGTCGCTGGTGACACCGAGCCGTCGAGGTACCGCCTGGCGTAGCGACCAGGTGAATACTGCTGACAAGCGCCGGAGTCCCAACCAAGGCAGCGGTCGCGCAGACGTGCGTCGACGGCGGCGCCACGGCGGCGGACTCCAGGTTCGGTTGCGCAGTCAAAGAGGCCGGGCGAACATTGCTAGGGTGGAGAGACGGGTGCGCATGAACTCCCGCCTGTGGGTCGGCGAGGCCCGGCGGCGGCCCAACCCGCCCGACGTGGGAAGGCGAGCCACCACCGACAGGAGGCGACTCCGCACTCACGGCGGCTCCGCCAGCCGCGCGGTCACCGACGGCGGCCGTGGGGCGCCAAAACGGCAGTGGCGACGACCCGGTGCACGGCAGACGCTCGCCGCTAAGCCACGGACCCCCACCC